GTAAACCCCCATGTCCCCCTCCGTAAGTGAACACCTTCCGTAAGCGATCACTAAATCTTCGGATTTTGGGTGGTCCCTTTCAGGAGTTTCGACTGCAAAAATAAACTCACTCTAAAGATTGCTTTCTCAGAGCATTTACTTCTAATTTCGTGTTCTTTTCTCCCTTGCAGAGGTCTCTTTGTGTCCCTAGGAGGCCTAAAAGAGGGGAAAGGGAAGCGTTCAGGCGACAACATTAGACGCCGAGAAAGAATGAGGGAAACCGCGCCTTTCTCTCTTCTACAGTCTCACACGCGTTAATTACTCTTAAAGTATTATTTAAAATTTTATAAATGAGATACCAGTAATAGCCTCTGCGAAGGAGAGTGTGCTTGTAGTTTATGTTCTAATTGGCAATGAATCTAGGCGGCTTCAAAATAGCCAGCTCAACGGAATTGGAAATGCAAAACTTGTCCAGCACTCGGTCCACTTTTGGTGCGCCTTCTTGAGCAACTTCTTTTAGCTGGTGATTATGGAAGTTCACTGTCACTTTCATCAACACTCACACTGTCACTATCACTCCCAGATCTAGTAATCAACTTCTCAGAAATTTAGGGTCACACCTACAGGAAACCTCTGTAAGTTTTCGATAACTTGCGAAAAATTAGAGCAAGGACCAAAATCAATCCCCAAATACAAATCCCCAGAATTTTCATGTATAGCAAAGTCATTGAAATTGTCTTGAGATCTAATTTATAATGGAATGCGATTCCACAACTGGGTTGAAAATTGCCAGTGAAAAAAGACCGCAAGCCGCAGTTGTACAAATTGTATCCAACATGTACATCACGCAGACGGTGGCCATTGACAGATCTTAGATTGCGCCTTGTGGTGAACATCTTAACTAGGTTGACGAAATATTATGGGGCCAAGCCATTTCAACATTGAAAAGAATCGTAAAATTTTCACGCTCTTCTATCGGAAGCCACTGGAAGTGATACAGCTCATACAATGCAAATGATATATATGCTCATGTTTTGGGGTAAGAGCAACGATTCTGGGGCCCGCTTCTCGAAAGTCCCGGTAACTTTACGGGCCCGAAATCAATTATTCAAATCGAAATATAAAGAATAAGAGCGCGGGTCCTGGCTAGCAAACTACTCCATTTAGTTTCATTAACTGACAGTTTGATCATGTTAGATGCAAAACTATTGAAACCTCGATCTTTACTGTAAACGGAGACAGCTTACCGGGCCCGTTAATTATCGGGACTTTCGAGAAACGGGCCCCAGGCCGCTACATTTACTGTTACTTTTACTGCTTACGACTCGTACATCCGATGGCTATAAGTCTTCTAATATATAATTTTATTCAAACAAACAAACTTTACTCACAGGCCATGTTCACACTATACCGGATAGCTTTTGCGCCGCCACGAGAATCATATCGGATTGGGCTTCTGTTCACACATAAAAACCGCTGTGGCGGCGCGATTTCTGTGACGGAGCAAAGCTGCGCCGCGCCGATCTCTAAAGTGGTGAGTCACATATCGGATAGGTGTTCACACTATATCAGATGGCTTTTGCGCCGCCACGAGAATCATATCGGATTGAGCTTCTGTTCACACATAAAAACTGTTGTGGCCGCGCGTTATCTGTGACGGAGCAAAGCTGCGCCGCGCCGATCTCTAAAGTGGAGAGTCACATATCGAAGAGGTGTTCATACTCTATCAGATAGCTTTTGGGCCGCCACGAAAATCGAACCGAATTGGGGTTTTGTTCACACATAAAAACTGTTGTGGCGGCGCGTTTTCGGTATATTAGGGACTTTAAAATCCAATGACGCGGGCGACAACGAGAACGTCAAAAAAACAATAGGTTTAATAAGCAAAACAACACCTTCGCACGTGGATCACACTTTTTTGTACATTTCTTTCTCTTTTTGTCCACAACTATGACGTGAAAATGTCTAATTTCGCGTTTTATGAAGGACGTAAACAAGCAACGACGAAATTTTATTTCTCTTTCTGAGCTTGAATATGGTCCCTTGAAATTCAGCTTCAGGAGGTTGGCATACAATTGACAAAGTAAGTGGGTAGGAGTAATCGCAATAAAGACTGAAAGAAGGCAAATTCACTTTTTAAGCGATGTTTTTGTCGCCGTCGCGTAGTTGGATCTTAAAGTCCCTATTAACGGAGCGAAGCTGCGCCGCCCCCATCTCTTAAGCGGAGAGTCACATATCGGAGGTGTCCACACCATAACGGACAGCGTTTCGTAGCGCCACGAAAAGCTATCCCGTGTGAACATAGCCAAAGTGTAAAAGCTACAATGCATTACAATCCCCCTGAAAATTAGTAAAAAACGCCATTCTAAGCAGGAAAAAGTAAAGGTAATGAAAGTAACAAAATAAGGCAACCTAACAATACAGAAGCTGATCTGTAGAGCTATGAATTATGAGTTATGAATTTACCATGTTCACATAGACCATAATGCACCTTTCTTACCCCCCCCGCCCCCCCCCCCCCACCAGCTACCCCCACCAAAAACAAATTGCATAACCATTGTTTCCAATTTTTCCTGGATATTACAGTTGTCCCAAGAGAGATAAAAGACAATGGTTATGTAAAATTTGGGGGGTGAACAATGTGCATTATGGTCTATTCAAAAATGGTGAATACAATTTTGTCTATAGCTCAATGGATGATCCAATGATATCAGTCTCCATACATTGCTTTCAAGTTGTTGTGATCCGTCCATGGTTGATGTTGCTCTTTAATTAATCACAGTTTTCCAGAGAGGCAGACGAGAAAATATAGATGTCTTATATCAATTTCCAGATTTCAGTCTGTATATGAGTTAAATGCTAGATTACAAGGCATTATCATTATCGTTTAAGAGTTACATCAACTGTTAGAGCTGATTGGAATAGGACGAGCAATTGCAATAAATGGATGTTATGCTCTGAAGTAGGACAATATTCTTGAGGTCAGTGCTTTAGTTCTTCTTTTTATGGTAATTTTTACATAACTTCTAATTTGGTATGCAGATTTTATATCAATGAGGAATAAGTTGAACACTTAATACTCTTAGCTCCATTGCATTTTTTTTAATTCAGAAAACAAGAACCTATTTAAGAACCTAAATAGCCTTTACTTGTGCTAATTACCATTTATATAAGAACCTGTTTAGGTTAACTTGGAAAATCCAGGTTTTTGGTGGCGAGATTTTATTGAAGTCAACGTGATGTACCACCAGCCTATCCTCACGCCCCATGCCAAATATTGACGTGGTTCATTGTGGAAACTCCCCCTTGATCATGAAAGGGAAGAGGTGTCTGAGCAAGGAGCGGAAAGAAATGGGGGAAGAAGATGGTGGGGTACCTGTGTCGTGATCATAGTTCCGTTTTCTGAATTCTTGGAAGGCAGGACAAATTTTCAAGTAAGTCGCAAACAGAAGCAGAAACTTGGAAATTCCCTTGGTCAAAATGTTGGGAAGCCTTCTTGATAGGTAAGGTTCTTTGAACTTCCCGGAACACTGAAATAAGATCTAAAGTCTGCCAATGTTTGTTCAATAGCTCAAAGATTGTGGCAAGAGCTAATTTTCCTCTCTCATTGATGTGTAAATGAAGAGTTTCCTGGGGAAGTTCTTCTGTGTTCAAATGTAGCCAGTACCCAATATCGGTTATTAGTAGTTTCGTGCTT